CCAAATGCAGCTGCCATCGGCTGCCCAACGTAGCTCACATCCGCTACTTAACGCAGCTTTCATCTACTGCGTTTAAATGTAGAATTCCTGTTAGAACGTGGATTCTACATTTAACTCATTCAAACACGAGCTGAACGGTTTCAAAACCGTTTTCTACGATTAGAGGGGATCACTCCCCCCACTTAGGAGAGATTTTAGGGGTCAATTATACCCCTTAATCCCCTATATATAGCTAAAAAATCAGCTGAGATCGGATCTTTGGGGGGGGGAGATCATAAAAAAGGCTGGATTTGAAGGAGATTGGCATTATTGTTCTCTTGGAGATCTCCTTTAGGAACAAAAATCCTTAGAGATTTGGTACTTGGCTTATTAACTGATTTTTAAGTTCAAATTAACTCTGCAGAGTTTAAACTCGTTCTGAGTTCAAAAACTCCTCAAGAGTTATCTTAAAACTTGCCATGCAAGTTTCATTAATTATTCTAGTGAAGTGAGACGGTTGAATCGTCAACGAGAAGTAAACTCGATGCTAGTTTTGAGGGAGGAATCCCATCGCTACCGTGAAGAACCTAGATTTAAACAAAGGGACGGATCTCCATCAATCTTTCTTTCTTTTATAATTCGGGAAATTGATTGAGGGAATTGTTGTTGGGTCCTTTTGTTTTGATGATGATTTACAAACAATTTACTTCTAATATTGTTTGTCTAGTGTTTGTGTTTTCCTATTTATTATAGACAAACAATATGTTAGAGGATTGATAGAATCGAGCCTCAACGATCATATCCACTGGAGGTTGGCGAAATTATGGTATGAAGCCTTGCAATTCAAGTTGAAGATCCAAGTTCAAGCTTCATCCGTAAGTGTACCAAGATAGAGCTTCGTTGAAGATCACAAGCTTGGGTATATTTAGTTTAGGTCTTATATTATGTGTGTTAAGTATATATATTATATATATATATATATATATACTATTATATATTATATATATTATATATATATTATATAATATATATATCTATATATATATATATATATACTACTATATATATTAGAGAGCAGAGAGAGATGAGAGCAGAGAGAAGAAATGGGTATGCTTGGTACCAAGCACAAATTTTTGTGCTGTAGGTGACAGTGCAGCGTGTGCACATCCTCATCCACTTCACATAGTCCATGTGAATTGTCGCGTCCCATATTTGAATGAGTGAGAGGGGGATGTGACACATCACTAACAAGCCTACAACTTTTGCTGCTTGCGTACCAAGGCATACCCATATTGCTCATATATCTATATATATATATATATTATATATATAATATATATATATTATATATATATATATGATATATTATATATATATATATATATATATATATAATAATAGTATAAAATATATATATATAGTATATATATGAGAAAAATGGTTACTTGGGTACCAAGCACAAATGTTGTGTTGCTATGGAAGTGTCTTATTTCACATCCACTCATTCATTGGGGGACCATATTCAACCCATGTTGAATGCTGGCCCCCCGCCATTGAATGAATGGAGGATAATATGACACCTCACTACCAACCACAAAATTTGTGTTCGCCGTACCAAGCATACCCATATTCCTTATATATATATATATATATTATATATATATATATATTTATAATACTATATAATATATTATATATATATATACTATATAGTATATATATATATATATATATACTATATATATAATATATATATATTATATATATATATACATATATATATATATATATATATATATATATGTTTTGGTTTTATAGTTTTCAAATTTATACAAAAATGATTTTGTGAAAATATTGTTTTATTAGTTTATAGACTTTAACAACACTTTATACATAGTTTATCAAGTTTATAAAAATATTTCACAAAATTTCAAAAGTTGGTTTATTGTAGCATGTTTATTATCATGTCTACAATCATTTCTCAAAGTTTTACATTTTTCTGATTTTATTTGCTATTTTTAAAGGCAGTTTGAAAATCAGATTTCTGTTTTAAAACGGGCTGATAACCTGTTATCAGTCGACTGGTCAGTCGACTGATGACATCAGTCGACGGATAAGTTGACTTAAGAAATCACCTGGAATGTCAAAAAGTTTCTATTTTATTTTAGTCGACTGATTAGTCGACTGATAAGGTCATCAGTCGACCGATCAAGTCATCAGTCGACCGACGAGCTGGATATTGACTCTAATGGTCAGCTCATCAGTCGACTGATCAGTCGACCGATGGCCCAACGGATATATTTTTCTAGGTTTTCTATTTTTTCTTTTTGTTGGTTTTGTTGGTTTTCTCTTGGCTTTGGGGTTTTTCTATAAATACACCCACATATCCTCAGTTCATAACCAAGAAGAGAAAAGTTTTACAAGTTTGTTTAAGGGTATAAGTTTTTGTTCAAGTGTGTTTAAAAGTTTGGTTTATGAAGAAACTTTCACAAGAGCTTGAGGAGATCATCAATTTGTGGAGCATTCAACTCTTCTCCCTCTCTCTTGTTATCTATAGAGAAGTTTTTCTAAACTCTTATCTAGCTATTTATTTGTTTGTTTTTCATTTCCTTAAAGCTAGATTTATTTGAGTTTAGTTTGTTTTATTAAATCTCATTGTTACACACACCCACTTGAGCTTTTAGTATTTTCATACATAGTATAATTGGGGTTGTGAGAGATTGTAACTTTGAGTTGTGCTTAATTGAGTTCTCACCTTGTTTAGAGAACAATCATTTGTTAAGTGCCTAAATTATGAGGTTCACCTTGTAATACACTAGTACACCAAGAGGAGTGTGTGGTGAGAGACGGGGTCGTCCTAAGAGGAGTGGGGTAGGTGGTAATACCTAGAGAAATGTTGTAATTCCTAACACTTGAGGGAGACACGGACTAGAGACCAACATTTAAGGTGATAGTTAGTGTAGTTACATTATGAGTGATTATGAAAGTTGATTGGTGAGCATTGAAAACCGACATTGTGAGATGTAAACATTTTTTAGGTAAGCGTAGAAAATCCGGTGTGATAGTGGAGATCTCCTCGAGGTGAGGAGCGTAGACGTAGGTCGTAGGGACCGAACTTCGTGATCATATCATTTGTTTGTGATTGCATTAGCGTACTTTTATATTTGTGCTTATTATTCATATTACCTTTGTTAATTGCTCATTGTTTATATTGCCCACTATCTAGTTTAGTTTGTTCACCCTTGTGTTAACTTGTATATCCTTGCTCATATATTGTTCATATCTCATTTGCTAGGATATATTTGTTAATTAGTTTTAATTTAGCATAAATCGGATTAGATTAGCATAAACCCTATTCACCCTCTCTAGGGTTCTTTCCTAGTGGTATTAGGGTATTTTCAATTGTAAATTCTTTTTTTAAGTCTGTTAGAGAGAAATTGTATCCAGAGAATTATGATTAATTCTTTTTGTGAGTCAGTCAGAGAGAATAAAATAAATTCAATTATCAATTGTCTTCTTCAAATTTTCCTACCAAACAAGTACTATCCATAGTCTCCAGTTCAATCTTTCACTCCGACAAGTATATGAGTATAAACTACTCCTTCATACCTATTAGACCCTAGAGGGGGGATGATTAGGGTCTTATGCTAATCTAATCCGATTTTATGCCAATTAAAACTAATACAAATATATTCTTGCAAGATAGATATACAAGAGTTATAAGCAAGAATAAACAATATGAATAAAGAGATATATCCTAGCAAAGAGGTAATATATGCAAAGATAAATAAACTAACACAAGGGTGAAATAAACATAAACAAGATAAGAGTGATAGTGTAAATAAACAATGCAAACACACAATATGATCACGGAGTTCGGACCTTCCGTCCTACGTCTCCGCTCCCCACTCCCGGGGAGAAATCCACTATCACAACCGGGTTGTTTACGCTCACCCGAATACGTTTACACCTCACAATGTCGGTTTTCAACGCTCACCGATCAACGTCCACACC